TTTCTAAATCTACAGTCTAAAGTGTGTGTATATGTATTATATGCTGTCCATTTTCATCTATTAAAATTGAAATGCCCTCTGTGTGCAAAAATGGGGCACCAAGTTATCAGTTGTCTTTACCATACAACGTTGTCATACAACGTTGCAGTATTGATCACAATAAGAACTAAAGAACACATGCTTTCCTTCTCTCTCTCTCTCTCTCTTTTTCTCTCTTTCTTTCTCTTTCTCTTTCTTTCTTTCTTTCTTTCTTTCTTTCTTTCTTTCTTTCTCTTTCTCTTTTTCTTTCTTTCTTTCTCCCTCCAGGCCCACACTGACTCTGTCCCATCGAAACCTAACGGGAGGATGTAATGTGAACTGTGGCTGCCGGATCCATGAATACGCTCCTGTGTGCGGTTCCGATGGAATCACATACTTCAACCCCTGTCTGGCGGGCTGCAACAGCGTCTCCAATGACAGCTCAGGGGTGAGAGCACACACATACTTTGAATAAAGCTTCAAGTCAGTTTTTCTCACAGCAGGAAATAAAAGTAAACTAAGACTAAAGCTCCTGTGCTGAAAGACATTAACACTTCCAGAAGAGAAAGTAGTAAATGTCATCCACATTTCCTGTAACTTCACTGACCAGTAACACTCAAAGGAACATAAGTTCCCCTTGGCATGTCCACACACACATATGTAATCTGTTACTGTGTTTTCTTCCACAGATCAGGAACTATTCAGACTGTGCGTGTGTACAGAGCAGGCAGGTGATCACTCCATCCGGAGGAAATCACGAGCTGCAAGTGGTCATTGTGAAGACGTACTTGAATGAAAATGGCTATGCACTCGCTGGCAAGTGCGAACGCACCTGCGGAACACTCATAACCTTCCTCATCTTCCTATTTATCGTCACTCTCATCACTGCTTGTGCCCAGCCTTCTGCCATCATCGTTACCCTCAGGTCTCTCTCTCTCTCTCCCTCTTTCTTTCTTGGGTTTTTCTTCTTGTCCTTCTTTAAAATTATTTTTATACAAGTTAAAGTCTTTGTATGCACACAGGAATTAAGCAATTTACTGACATTTCCTTGTCAGTCAGAGGGTTAAACTTCAAATGTCCATGTTTAAGCTAAACCTAGTGTGGGACTGTGAATGTACGCCATCACTTGGCATTATCATAAGAGAAAATCTTATGATAGTTGTGGAAATTGGTGTTATTGTAACAGTGGTTTGACAAAACTTTACTACTTTCTTGTGCCCTCTCAAGAGTTTTGGTTTGCTTACTTTTGTGGACTGATTCACTAGGCTAAAAAGCCAGTCCGAGAACTAGGACTAGTTGACAAGGGATGGCTAGGACAGCTGACAGTTGGCTTGGTGCGTCAGGGCCCCAAGACTGCAAATGTTTATTAGTTTTGGAGTTACAAATGTAGCTAATGCAGGAGTCTGAGGTCACAACAGCATGAGCTTTAATGTGGTTTTCCCTTTCTCTCTCTCTCCCTCCTTCTCTCTCATTTTTTTCTCTTTCTGTCTGTAGGTCTGTAGAGGAACAGGAGAGACCATTTGCTCTGGGAATGCAGTTTGTTCTTCTCAGGACTTTGGGTATGACGACTTTTTTTGTTGTTGTTGTTTTTGTTGTTTTTGTTGTTTATTTAATTTAAAAATGCAGGAGTTGAGAACTGAAGTTATACAGGGAGATTCAAAAAGATAAATCTGATTTCAAAGCACCATATTTTTACAACCGTGAGGCACCTAGGATCCAATCACATACCAATTGAAAGAGGGGGTCATAGAGTTTCTGACTGTCACCGGAAGATGGCTCCCTTCAGGCTGTGAGTTGGCGACCCCTGAGCAGAAAGCGTTTTGCATTCTCGACTTCAGTAAGAGCGAATCCGTCATAAATGTGCAATCTCCAACAGCTCAAAACATTTGTTGTTGGTTCCACAACACTGGATGATTTCTGAAATTGCATTGAAAGAGCCATGAGTACAGTGACACCCAGCATGCTTAATCGAGAATGGGATGAATTTGACTATCGTGTTGATGTTGTCCATACAGCTGGAGGAGGTCATACTGAGCGCTTGTAAAATTACATTATAAATTTTATGCATTGTTCTGTAAAGATTAACAAGTGGGATGAATCTTTTTGAATCACCCTGTATTTGACAATTTACAGTTGACAAGTGAAAATCATATCTCTCAGTAAAGCACTGTTGTGCAAAAACTGTTTGTGTAACCGTTCAGCAGAATCCAGACGTGTGCGGATAATCATGCAATCAGAACTAACGCTCAGTATGTTCTCAGGGAAGCAATACCTCGCACTGATACTCACTAAAGCCCGGGCTTATATACTACTGTAACTAAACACATGACTAGGCACACAGGTGAAACCAGTTAATACTCAGGAGACTGAGATCTCTGACAGGTGTGTGAGAATGTGTCAGAAGTCACATGACCCCCGCTTGGCTCTTGGGTAATGGAGTCCACTTTCCCCGATTCTGAAGGGAAGTTCGAAGTCGCATGATCTCCCAGGGGAGCTTGGGAAATGAAGTCCATTTCAGTCTGCGAGTTAGTACCAGGCGTGACAGTTTGAGTCTTTTAATCATATGAAATAATATTGGCCAATATTACTGGTTATCGGAAATTTTAACTCTATTGGTATTGCTCACAATTATCATATCATTCAGACCCTAGTTAATATAATGATGTTAACAGAATAGTGGAAAATAAACTAACTGTGTTTCTCTTTCCCCTCTCCAGCCTATATCCCTACTCCAATCTATTTTGGCGCGGTGATTGACACGACTTGCATGCTGTGGCAGCAGGACTGTGGGGTTCATGGCTCTTGTTGGGAGTATGATGTCACTTCCCTGCGCTTTGTCTATTTCGGCTTGGCTGCCAGCCTCAAGTTCCTGGGCTTCCTCTTCATCTTCCTCACATGGTACTCGCTGAAGCGGCGTGAGGAACACACACGCTCACACACCCGCCCAGTCTCACCACTGGACACGGTGAGCCAGCTGATCTGCCACGCTGGGGGGCAAAAGGGTCACGCTCGTACACGCTCCTGCCCTGTCTTCCTGCCCCGCCCTCCTGAACATTGTCACACTGCCACCATGGTGGTCGGTAATGCCCTCAGCCGTGGCAACAGTTGTCCCGGCAATGGCCTGAAAGCAATAACTCCGCCCATCAGGTCTCTGGAAAAAGTGGTGATATGAGAGATTTTGCAGAGATACCCATACATATGTGTAACCATACATACAGGGCACACCTGAAGAAGGACCCAAAATGTCCAACTAATAATAGGTCCAGATGTGAAGAGTACCCTCCTCAGAGCCATTGCTGGTGCCTTTTTCTTCAGACTTATACATGCATTCATGCATGGGGTTTGGAAAACACTGGACTCAATACCTCAATAGGACCAGTACCTCTCTTGTTACACACACACACACGCTCACTTTCTCTTCCACATGGCCAGTACCTCGTCCTTACATAAACATGCACTCATAGTTGGTCCTACATGGCCAGTACTATATCTTTTTACTTCTCCTTACACGTACAAACACTGACTGATTCCATCCTAAGTATTACTCCTACTGTTTTTGCACACCTTCCCTTGTTCTGTCGTTTCCTCTCTCCTCTTTGTCTGATGTGTTCTCATCTGTCAGCAGTGTGATGAGAGACTACGCTGGTGTTCCAGAGACACTCTTATACTCTTCTGTCACACCATTGATTGGTCACTTGCCTAGTCGCATGATTGATTAGTTAAACGGTCTGTTTCATATCAGTATCAGGTATTGTGGCCTGCAGTAAGGAGGAATGGGCTGGAACTCAAACCGGAACCTCTACTATGCAAACTTTCCCTCTTTTCTCCAGACTGGGGATACAAATTCAACTCAACAGGTCGATACTACAGGCCTGGACACTGTCATGTTCTAAAGTAAACAATAAGTGTGCTGGAGATCGAAGTATTGACAAAGTATTTACAGCAGTGTGAACATGATCACTGCTGATCTGCACTGAGGGACTGTATGTCTGCAACACTAGAATAAAGTTACTCTTAGAAAAGGAATTAAGTATTGTTGCAAAGTGTTTAAACCATTTTTCTTACATCAGATATTGCAACTTGGTGTTTTAATGTCTAAATTAAAGATATTTTGATTAAAACACACAATACCGTTGGCATTGTTTCCTGGATGTCCCTGATGCCCTAGCTGTGGGAGGGTTCGATACTGATCTGTGAACAGTTTCTGCCCTTGAATTTTAACATTCAACTATAGGCACTTTGTGCCTATATATATATATATATATATATATATATATATATATATATGACATGTACCCTAACACTATCCAGTAAACAAGTAAGAACTTTTATTTGTCCTGATAGGGATGTTTTTTCCCCTGTAAAAAAATGATTGGTAGTACAATTGCAACAAAACAACACAACACACAAGAGACAAGTTACAGGTAAAAAATGAATTTTGCCATAAAATATTAGCTACTTAGAGGTGACCCTTCCAACTCTGTACAAACCAGTAAGTAAGATAGAAGGTTAAAATGCACAAAAGGCAATGTAAAACAACACTGTTAGATTTTTGTAAAGAAATAAATTTATTTTGCATATTTTCTGTTTATTACATAGTTGGCATGTAGGACTAAAACGTTTATGGGGCTAAAAACACTTTTTAAATTATTATTTTATTTTTGTTTATTTATATTTCTAAAAAAATGCAAATCTTCCCTTTGAAGCCTCAGTTAGATCCAGAAATCAGGAGGGCCAATTGCTAAACGCCCAGAAACACCAAAGGAAAAAGGTTCCTGTTGCCCTCTTAAAAGTCTGAAAGCTGGCTTAAAGGCCCATTAAAGAACAAACAAACTGAAATAAACATTTGTACTTAACATAGTCACAACCTGTCAAAAATATATATACGAGAAACGAACGGCGCATTTGGCCGCCGGGGGCAGTGTGAGCGAAAACGCACGCCTGTTCCGTTTTGCGCATGCGTTCCTGACGCTTCGCTGCGTGTTCAGCTGGACTCGCTCCTTTCCGGTGCCGTGGAGCGGAGCTCGCTTGCGCTCAGACATGGCTCTCTACAATTTTAAAAAGATTATGGTGGTTCCCACTGCCAAGGTACGTGTTTCAGCTTAACTCCTGTTTCTAAATGGTTTTGTACGCATTAATGTGGTGTGTATGTGATGTTAATAATGTGATTATTGTGCTGTAAACGTCTCCGCTGGAGACACGTGTGTCAGTATGTTGGCTAAGTTAAAGAGCTAACATTAGCCAGCGTTACGGAGAGCTGCAGCAGCTACAGCCCAGGGGTCGAAACCATGTGTTGTTTGAGGGTTACCGCTTTAGGAATATTTCGCCTGACGTTACCCACAACACGTTTGCCTTGTTTTATTATGCGAGTAGATTGCAGAGATAAATCCTTAAGTTGGATCTTTGTCTTTAAAAAAAATCGCCTCTTTAGAGTACACTACACGTAGAATCAGAAATAAGGTAGTAATTGATATTGTTGCGTTTTTCACTAAGTTACAGTGCCCCGCCTCCCAACTCCAGACTTACACAGCCCTTTATTAGCTGGTTCAGGTGTGAAAGGACATGAAGTAGTCACCTATTCTTGTTCCAGCCAACACACCAAGCAGTACAGCCTTCATACACAGTTCCAGAAGAAGAGTTGCTGTTTCGAATCATTACTGTTAAGAACGTAACCCAACTCAGTGTTCACTGTTTCATATAGCTACCATTTATAGCACTCATGCCATTGTTCGTCTCTGTTGTTGAGGAACAGTGAGCCCGCTTAACACCTTATTTCTCTCAGCTGCAAAGTGTAGCTCTTATGAGACAGACAGGAGGATTTTGAAAATTATCTGCCGAGTTGAAATGAAACAGTTGTGTTTACAAAAGGGGCAAAAACAACTGTTGTTGTGCACTGTTCTTGTAAGGCATGTTCTTTATACTTTGTGTACTCTTGTGTACTTTAGAATTTATCATTTATGTGCCATTCTTTATGTTCTACTGCGATGAAATCCTTAATCTTGAATTCTGCTGGCCATGTTTAAAGTAACTAATGCTAACAGCTTCCTACATTGCCATTACAAGCTCTATTGCAGTGGCAGTTGCGTTTTATTGTCTCTGTGCTTTAGAACTTGGAGTACACTTTGTACCAATAATTGAGAGCGTGTATACAAGAAAGCATGTAGACTGTCTGCCAGTGTGTGTATCTACATGTAGATAGTGGGCAATATGGCAAAAACAAAGTATCACAATGCACAGTATGCCATGATATATTTTTGTCTGTTAGAGGAGACAGAAAAGAACAAGCAGTCCCAAATTTAATACGGTTAAACTATAAATGCAATGATTTGAATTCACCTTTTCATGTCCTATGCCTTACTGAATCCGGCACAGGACTGCTGATGCCCTCTTTGTCATGATACTTACAGTTGATTAGTGTTGTAGAAGTACTGACAATATTCACAATATGCTAGAAAAACGTTATGCTGTATTGTAACGTATTTTATCATGATAACGATAAATAGCATCATATTACTCAGCTATAATCTAATGTGTTTTCTCCTGTTTGTTCTGACAGGACTTCATAGACTTGACCCTGTCCAAAACACAACGCAAGACCCCCACTGTGATCCACAAGCACTATCAGATCCACCGCATCCGTCATTTCTACATGCGCAAGGTCAAGTTCACACAACAGAACTACCATGATCGTCTCACACAGATCCTCACTGACTTCCCCAAGCTGGATGTGAGTCACAGTTAAATTTGTTTAGTGTGTTTACCGGTATTTATCTGTGGGTTCTCCTGTTTGTTTCCTCTCTCCCTTTCTCTCTGTGCCCCTCCCATCTTTTTTATGTCTTTTTTTTATTCTCCCCTTTCTCTTTTAGGATATCCACCCATTCTATGCTGATTTGATGAATGTGTTGTATGACAAGGATCATTACAAGCTGGCTCTGGGCCAGATCAATATCGCCAAGAACCTCATTGATAAGTAAGAACGAATGCTACCTGGTTCAAGCTTAGCAATCTGATAATATAGTTTTCTGTATTTATGGTTTTTAATGATTCCTGTTTTACCAATGTTGCAGACATTCAAGCACATAACTTATACATGATATGTATTTGTGTCTTTGTATCTTCATGTGTGTTTTTGTAGTGTGGCTAAAGACTATGTGCGTCTGATGAAGTACGGAGACTCATTATATCGCTGTAAGCAGCTGAAGAGAGCAGCACTTGGACGCATGTGCACCATCTTAAAGAGACAGAAACAGAGCCTCGAGTATCTAGAGCAAGGTACACACTTGCATATGTCCAGAGTAGACTGGATAATAGCAGAGGCTAACGTCTCTCCTTTTAAAGATGTCTTTTCAGAATTCATAAATTTATTTAGTATTGTGTTTGCTGTTCATTTCAGTTCGTCAGCATCTGTCTCGTCTGCCCACCATTGACCCAAACACCAGAACTCTACTGCTCTGTGGATACCCCAATGTCGGCAAATCCAGCTTCATCAACAAGGTGTGTGTGTATTAGTGATGTAAATGATAAACCATTAACAGAAAAATATACAGCTGTTTATATAAACATTGCTGTCATTGCTGTCGAAAAATAATTATTTCATTAAATTAACATTTCATTAAATTCTTATTTTAATAGGTAGATTTATCATTAAAGTTCATACTGAGGTGCACTGAGCCAAAGCTTCCTTCAGTCATGGTGTATGATTGTTTTAACTTGGGTTACTAATGAGTAGTAAATCTAATTTTTGACTAAAACTTTCAGTAGCCCATCATTGTATATTGCATCATTTTGTCAGCTGTTTACGTTTTTAGTCATATATTCATAGCCATAATAGAGTTGTCAGCGCCTTGGTTTAAACAAAACCAGGGGCCATTTTACAGAAACTTCTTTTTTGTCTTATAGGTCTTACAGATCTGACAGGTCAAGATAAGATTTTTCACAAATTGTATTACAGAAGCAAATCTTATCTTTATTTAGGAATCTTATCTTACAGCATCTTACTTATCTCAAGTTAGGAAATCTTAACTTACTCGATAATCAACTGTCATGTCTGTTACCTAGCACCTTCACAGCTGAAACATAAATATGTGATCAAAATTAAGTTAATTAGCTAGACAGCTAGCTACCATTACTGATATAATAAAGGTCAAGCAAAACTAAAGTGTGATAAACCTGAAGTTACTAGTATATTTTGACAGTGCTTCGTGCTGTTTATCAGAGCATCGCCGCTCTCTAGTTTCAGTTTCCCAAAAGCTTTAGCCAACCACGCTAACGTTATTCCTATATACAGCCACACATTCAGCTCTGTCTTATTGATCACCACCATCACTGTAATATTTTATCTGACGAGTTTTCATCAACATTAACACACAAAGACAAACAGAGTGGGCGGTGGAGATTGTGTCTGCAGTCGCTGTTCGAAAAAAACGAACAAAGTCAAAGAACCATTTTCCATGTAGATAAATGTAATCTCAGTATACTAGTTATAGTGAACTATGCTGCCTGTCACTACATAAAAAGATAGAAACAGACAGTTAAAACAGAAGACGACACTTCTGGGGTTGTCTTAAAGTTAGGACAGGATCTAGGAAAATTAGTCTAGTTAGGATGTTTCTGTAATACTGTTTTTCTTATCTGGAGTTAGGATAAGATTATGAACTTAAGAACTGTTGTTCTGTAATAGCTTCTGTCCTAAATTCAGTCCTAACTAAAGTTGTTATGGTGACTGAGCAGATAAGATTTTCAGTTTATGTAGTATGGCCCCAGGTTCTTATATAGGGTATGCTTTTTAGGGGTGCGGGAAAAAATCGTTTCTTAGATGCATCGCGATGCGGACGCGAACGATTCTGAATCGATTCACAAACGTCAAAAATCGATTTTCTAAATATTAATTTATAATGTAATGTTGACGGAACGCAAAAGGCGGAGTGGGTAAGTGCAGCGCCCGGACACTGTGGCGGCACGAGAAACTGATCTACAGTAGGAAAATAGAAATCCTGTATAGAAAAAAAGATGCATCGAGATGCATCGATAAACGTCTTATAATTGCATCGCAGCCCTCTGAATCATAATCAAATTGAATCGTGAGGTGCCTAAAGATTCCCACCCCTACTTAATATGGTATTAGGCTGTGTCCTTAAAGTTTCTGGTTAATGAATAACTGCCAACTAATGACAGTCAGTTATCAGTCAAAAGAATTTGCCAAAATTTTGTATGTAACCAATGCTGAGATGTGTGTGATGTTAGAATTTTGATACTGTGCTATAATTGAGGGACGTGTGTGTGTGTGTGTGTGTGTGTGTGTGTGTGTGTGTGTGTGTGTGTGTGTGTGTGTGTGCGCGCGCAGGTTACTCGTGCAGATGTGGAGGTGCAGCCATATGCTTTCACCACTAAATCTCTGTTTGTGGGTCACATGGACTACAAGTATCTGCGCTGGCAGGTGAGTGTTATAATCTTTCATAGAGCTACTATAATAGACCTAACAGACAGGCGCTGCAAAGTGTTTAAACACATTGGATTTATTTACTGGAGGTAATAAAATAGGTCCTCAGCTATTTTAATATTAGACCTTCTGATGACTGGAGCTCAGGTTTAGCCATTAAAATAAAAATTTATATGTTAAGCGAATGGAAATACATGATTGCCATGACAAAGAATGTGTTGTGTAGGTAGTAGACACCCCAGGTATCCTGGATCACCCTCTGGAGGAGCGGAACACGATTGAGATGCAGGCGATCACAGCGCTGGCCCACCTGCGAGCTGCTGTGCTCTATGTGATGGACGCCTCAGAGCAGTGCGGACACACACTTTCACAACAGCTTGAATTGTTCAACAATATCAGACCCCTGTTTGCTAACAAGGTACACAATGTCTCTCTCTCTCTCTCTCTCTCTCTCTCTCTCTCTCTCTCTCTCTCTCTCTCTCTCTCTCATACTTACATACACTTGCATACAAATACACTAGCAGTGCAGCCCAAACTGCTCCACAGTATCAGGCTCCTATTTACCAGTAAGAAACATAGACATATTCTTGGGTGGGAAACTAAGGAACTGAAGTCCAGCACAGTTTAGTGTTTTCCTTGATGAGGTGAGTCAGGTGTGATTGACACCCTTGTTAAACAATTTTTTTTTTTGCTTCAACCTGTGTATGTATATGTGTGTGTGCGCCTGGCATTGCAGCCTCTGATTGTAGTGGCCAACAAGTGTGATGTAAAGAAGATAAGTGAGCTGTCAGAGGAGAATCAGGTGAGTTTCCCTTTGCTGTGCTATTCCTTAGTATGTATACTTTGAACAGCTTTATTATTGCATTATTTCGTTTGAATTATGTCAAACAAAACATTTCTCACTTTTTGGGAAAATGTTAGCAGTTTTGATGTCTGTTCATTTATGTAAACATTAGTGTGTGTTTGTGTGCATGCATATGTAGAAAATCTTTGCGGATATCGTGGCTGAGGGGATTCCAGTGATTGAGACAAGCACACTGACGGAAGAAGGAGTAATGCAGGTCAAAACAGAGGTGAGATGATGCTTTATTGCATTATTTTGTGTAGCTTATCATGAGTGCATTTGTGTTAGTCACCATAATAAGACGTCAGAAGAAATTTCCCCCCCATTTTAAAAAGGAGTATATTTTTATAGCTATAAGGACAATCTCCTTCTTATCAGCTGGTACTACACATTGGTTTCTACATGAGATTTTAGCAGGATGTGCCAAAGATTGTGATCATCACAACATTCAGATCCTCATCAGCACAAAAAAGTCATTCAGACTTTTGATGTTTTACTGTCCTATACACATTTATAGCAGATGCTGCGCCACAGTGGCAGCACACTTTTTTTGTCTTGAGTGGTGTGCTACTAGAATTAACAAATGTACAAAAAACCACTCTCATAACAGATGTTTTACATTCACGAAAATGTGAACACTATGGGAGTGTATTCTGTACGTAATTCTATGACAACCTGCTTTAGAGAAGCAGCAAAATACGCCCCTTGTATGTGTTTGCGTCCTGCTACTACATAAAAGTGATGCAGCATCACTGGTAAAACAGAACTCTCTTGTGCCATTTTTGTTTTTGCGGGAGATTTTGTACATTACCAAATAGGGAATGCGGTGTTCTGTGTTCTGTTTTGTACTGAGGGCGTCACAGTCTGTTTACCAGGACGTTCATGGCAGATGTGACCGTGCACATCCTAGTAAGATTAAGGTGTTTAAAGGCTGCACGTTTGACACAAAGCCTCAATATTGGTGGTAAATGTATACTGGTAATGTATCGGGATTTGTGTATGGAAACATTATAATATTAGCTGCATTTAACATTGACTTTACTCACCTTTCTGGCATTGTGGAAAAACACTGAGTCTAAATAGTCACATTTCCATGATGTACCACTGCAAGACGCTAACTTGCAATGGTACTTCAGTACCTAACGAGAGGGTGTTCTCCACAGCATAGTGACTGCAAAGAGCCCTACCCTCTCCCCAGACATTGTAGACATTCTCTTCTTTTTGAAAAAAAGCTCAGGTCTGCTTTGTTTTATTTCCTTTTTTTTTTTCACTGTTTTTTGGTGACATCTTCATTTCTCATATTGTACTTTAACAAGTGAGTTTATTTATTTATTTTTGATTTATTTTAATATTTTATTTAAGACTATGGGCAAAAGTTCTTTACTGTGAGTGTTCTTTAAGCAATAAATAGAAAGCAAAGTTGTTCTCTCTCCCCCTTTTTTACATTTTTATATATATTTTTGGAAATATAATGACTGAGCTGTGTTTGCCTAATTTGACCATTAATGCTGTGTTGATACACAAGTGCGGAATAGATCTGTACTAACGGGACAGAACATCCGCCCAGAACCAGAAGTCTGAAAAAAAAAAATAATAATTCTGTTGTTTTGTTAACTTACACACTTAAGAAAGTACTGCATACTCTTGATGTTTGTTTTAAGGCACATGTGAGTGTTTTGATAATGACTGTTTTTCAGGCATGCGACCAGCTGTTGGCTCACCGTGTGGACACAAAAATGAAGGGGAAGAAAGTCCACGATGTCCTAAACAGACTTCACCTCGCCATGCCAACCAAGAGAGATAACAAGGTATGTGAAACCACATGGCCTTAACAGGCACCGATGATGAGGCATGGTCAGAGACAGCATAAATGAATATACCGTAGTGCACTAGTGGCTAATGTTAAAGGATCTGATTTAAAAGAAAAATCAAGGAATCTGGCATGGAACTGTGATTGTGAGTGGCTGTCCCAAGCTGTTAATGTATTGACAGCAATACCTAAAAGTCTAAGTGGAAGCAATATATATGCAACGGTAAAGGATGGAACTAGTTACAAAATAACGTGTCCCTCATTCTTAGGCTTTCAGAGAAGTTCTAGATGTTTTTAATCTCATGGCCCATATACCACATTTTTCCTGTATTTCATATCTTTGTATTTTAATTTTAGTTTTTCTCTGAATCCACTTAGAATATTTTTTTGGTTTTATGTACCGTAAACTTTAAAAATGTATTTATTTACATGACCATTTTCCAACCTCTCTTTATTCCTTAGACTTAAACAGGCTGTTTGTTACTCACATTTAAATGACATCTGTTTGGCTTGCTTGTGTTGTGCCTTTTTAAAAAAAAGCAGTCAGGGCTGAAACACTTCAGCATGAAAGGATGGGGCAAAACTGCTGTAGACTGTATAGACTGATATATGTAAATGTGTTTGGTTTTGTGACATCACAATAATGAATTCAAATTTTGAAACTTGAGCTTTAAAATTGTTGCTGAAATTGTTTTTGGATTTTGTTTGTTTAGGAACGACCTCCATTTATCCCAGAGGGGGCCGTGATCCGCCGAAAGGCGATGGAGGTTGATGCCCCCAAACGTAAACTGGAGAGAGACCTGGAGATAGAGCTTGGAGACGACTACACGCTCGACCTGCAGAGTAATTACACACAGATACACACAAACACCAACAAAAAGGTACAGTGTAATTACATAGATATAGATGTAAGCATAAGGTTTATTTAAATAGATATTTGACTTACTGTGCATAAAAATATAAGTACACTATAAAAATAAATAATAGTAAATAACAATAGTAAACATTTATAATATTGTACTATTGTAGTAATATAACAGTAAATAAACAAACACGCATTTACGGCTTTCCTGCATCTAAGATATTGCTTTTATTTGCCTGTAGAATACTGGGACCTGATGAATATTGAGGAGAAAAGTGATAAGATTCCTGAGATTTGGGAAGGACACAACATTGCTGATTACATTGACCCTGACATCATGAAGGTGAGAAGTGTCAGCTGAACGATATATAAGCTACATTCTAGAAGAGCTTAGAGCGTGTACGTTTGCAGTTTGTCCCGTGGTCCAACTTAAACCCAATGCTTACTTAATCTTAGCATTTCTTACGTATTTGTAAGCATGTTAACGTTCTCCATTCCACCCTAGCGCTTATCTGAGCTAGAAAAGGAGGAGGAGCTCCGGGAGCAGGCAGGCGAATATGACTCTGATGAAGAAAGTGAAGATGAAGAGATGCAGGAAATTCGTAAGCTTGCCAGTCAGATTCGAGAGAAGAGGAAGCTGAAGATCCTGGAGTCGAAAGAAAAAGATGTCCATGGACCCAGATTACCCCGCACTGCCAAAAAGGTCTGTATGCTTTTTCCAGTTTGTGTAGAACACTATTCAGTTCTGTCGTATCATATCTACCCTATTGGACATCCATCCCAAATATACTTTTGCTCTGTTTCGCTTACCTACACACTAGAAAGGTAATCAACACTTGGACGCTTGATACTGGTATGAATATAGCAGAAGTGAGTGCTCATGGGAGGTTTTAGAATGGGTCGGTAATGTTCTCAATGATCGGTTTCTGAAGATTGACTTTCTATGGCTTGTTGTGATCCAGTCATTTTCTTAGTGTGTAGATCTTAAAAATATGTTTAGTCACTTACATTGGTTAGCACTCAATTTTAAATGCTAAAACGTTTTCACAAACTGACCAAAGATGTTGATGCTTAGTAATAAAACAAAAGGTAGTAAACAAACAACTTGAACTCACTCAACACAGTAGCTGAACTGAGGGCTGTAGCACCACAGCTAAACAGCGTCCCCCTGCTCACCATGCGCAGGGAAGCAGAGCAGGCTGTGCTACAATGTGACTGATGTGAGAGGTTTGCAATTTTATTTGCATTTATTTTATTTATTTATTTTGTCTACCCCTTACCAGTCATTACTGAACTTATTTTCCATATTCTGTTTTCATTTCTGAGAAATATTAAGGCAAGTGTTCTAGGAATTCTTTTTAATGCATTTAGTGTTTTTCATCTGTTAAAGAAGAATTGCTGAATGAAATCATTGGTTGGGGTATTGAATCAAATGAAATCACTCTTAATTTTTAAGAATTTGGATGTAATCGAAAAACAGTGAATAGGGAATTGATTTGCTGTTGACGATTTGAGATTTATACCCCCGAGTGGCTTGCTTCTAAATGGTGACTAATGTACACTGATTGTTGTGTCTGATTGATGTTAAATTTGCTATGATTACTATGTGCAGGTGGATAGGGCAACACTGGAGAAGGAAATGGAGGATCTCGGTTTGGACATGACAGATAAAGATGAGGTAAGCACTGTCCATTCTTCCTCTGTGTGTGCGTGCGTGCATGCATGCATGTTTTTGTCAGATTCTGTGCTCTGTATGTTGGCATTGTTTTTGTTTTGTGCCTGTGCCAACAGTTTGCTAGATAGAAAATATTGTTTTTGCATGTGTTGGTTTTTGTTATTGTATGTATCTTAACTGCTGTTCCTCGATCTCTATAGAGCCACTATGTCCAGCAGGCCCGGAGGTCACGCTCACTTGTCAGAAAGAGGAAGAGAGAAGCGTCTGCTCCGCCTACCTCACGCACACGCAGTCAGAGTGCATCGAGACCACCCCGTGACCAATCAGGAATCAGAGATGCTAAGGTACTACTCACATCTCTCATCAGTTTTGGACTTAAACTTCCTCTCTCACTTAAGTGAACACATTATACAGTGTGCTGTATTCCTCCTTGTTTAAATCCTTAGTCCAGACGTTGTAAAGTGATTTAGCCATGTTTACGCTGGCCTGTGAATGGAGTCATGACATCATACCTAACTAAAGTGGCACAATACAGTTTTTGGCCAGCAGATGGCAATGTGGCACTGTTCCACTGTATATATTTTCCCAAACACTTCTTGCTTCTTGAATAGAATATAACACCATGTTATTAGCCACATTTGTACATCTTTACATGCAAGATATGTGTGTGTGTGTGTGTGTGTATATATATATATATATATATATATATATATATATATATTATGTATGTATGTATGTATGTAACTTTGTGACTCCCATCTAGAAGCTCACAGTTTGAACGGTTAAATATAGAGGTGAAACATAAAAACTACTAATAAATAGGGAGGCAAAAGAAAGATTTGTCCTTATTCATCAAAGCTGCGTACAGTGAAATCTGATCGTAAGATGAGAGCACTGACAGTTTTGTTATTCATCAAATTCATCTTTGCCGTATCTGTGCAATTAAACTAATGTTTGAAGAAAAGTGCTTGATTTGCGGTTAACAAAAAAAAAAGGGGGAACGGTATCATCTGTAAATACCAGCAATAAGAGTAGAAGATAACAATAATTGCTTATCTAAGAAAAATAAATACTAATTAGTCATCTATCAAATTTCATTTTTTTTATTCATAGATCTCAGGCGACACTGACAACTTTTTATTTTATTTATTGTTTTTTTTTATTATTATTATTATTATTATTATTATTATTATTATATGAATGCTTGTCCTCCTTTAGGTTTAGAATGGTCAGGACAGCACTGAACACTCTACTCTTCTGCTGTTTCTCTTATTCTACGTGTGTGTGGGTTGCCAGCTATTCAACACTAGGATCAGTTTAGAATTATAATACAATTGATTTACATTTTCAGACCTTTTTCCAGGGCTGCAGTAAAACAAATGGCATGATTTTCATCCACACTTCACTTTCACACTAGCCAGATTTGTCATGAAAACCATGAATCTGGCAACTGTGCTTGACGGTGAACCTGTGAGTGAAACACACTGGCAACAGCGTTTTTTTTCTGGTTGCTGTAGCCATGAAGCGATGCCTGCAGCTTAAAATACCTACTGTTTACAGTTTGATAGGGGAGATGATGCAGCTTAGATTTTGTATAATGTAGTGTATGCAGGATGTCAAGTTGTATAAGGCAGTGTCTCAAATTAGCTGTGCATGTGTGTCCAGTGTGTCTTCCCAGAGTAAATCCTGAATCTGTAACTCCATTTCTTACTCTCGTTGTGCTTTAATATACTCAGTAGATGGAGTATTGTGAAGCAGAGAATCATAAAGTACGGATACATTTTAAATCACCCTGACACTTAACCTGAAATGTCTGTCAAACCAGTTGGGTTCAGCTTTTTCTAACGTAGGCAGATGCTTCCATCCCAAAACCTCCTGACTGGTTCTGGAAAAGCTTGGATTGATGTGTACAACAGCATTCAGACATTATCATGGAATATAAGATTACTGGTACAAGTATCTGGTATACAAAATGGATGTTTGTAGTAATATGACTGAATCATGGTTTCTCTAATTCTCTTTTTTCTGGCTTTGTCTCTCCCTTTGCAGATGATGAAAAAAGCGAAGACGATGATGAAGAACTCTCAGAAGGGGATGAACAGGCAGGGCAAGAAGGGCGAGTCAGACAGACACGTCTTCGACCTGAAACCCAAACACCTGCTTGCAGGAAAGAGAAAATCTGGCAGCACAAGCCGCAGATGAACATACAAACTTACATGCGTGCCTCTTTAAGAACATACTCTTATCCTGCAGCTTTTTCACATATTTACATGTAGTTTTGGCCCTGGATAGAGATGTTTCAGTGACAGTCATGTAACGAGGTTGCAAATGAAATATAACAATGTTTTCAAATTGCCTTACCAGTGTTCATTGCTGGGGTGGAAATAATTACTATAACTTCCAAATCCATCCCCAGGATTAATGGACATGTGAAATGTCAAGGTGCTGTATTGATGGTATAGTGTATGGATATCTGTCAGGTTAACTGTGCTGTCTTAAGCCTTTGAGTCAAATCCAATGAATCTGTTAATGCTGATTGAGAGCTGTTAAGTCACGTGTTTGGCTGGCAGTGAAATAAATAATTGATTTAACTGAAAGAATGAGGAGTGGAGTGGTTAAGATGCGGTATTTGTTGACTCAGCATTTCCTCTATATTTCAGAGCTTCAGCACACTTGAGCTGTGCTGTATTTAGAGTTACATAACGGTTGCAAAGCTCTACAATTTTCCAGATGACAGGCAGTGATTGCTTTAAAGTAAGTGGGGTACTGGTGCCTGTTACGCACACAGGTGTAAGAAGAGTTTGTAAACCCTTTAGAATTATCAAAATTTCTAACTGCATAGCTCCTAACTGAATGAGCACTGATGAACTTTAGAACAAATACAGACATGCGTATTTAATAAACACAATATTTTACAGAATCATTTCTTTTAGATCAGTGTTTCCCAACCCTGGTCTTAGAGGCACGCTGCTCTACAATTTTTTTTTAACCTGTTCCCAACACACCTGACCCAACTAATCAGCTCATAAACCACTCCTTACTGAGTTGAAGTGGGTGTGTCATACCAGGAAAAGCTCTAGAATGTAAAGGGCAGTGGGCCTCCAGGACCAGGGTTGGGAAACAGTGGCTTAGACAATCCAAGGATGTTATTGGAAAAAGTATGTGAACTCTTAGATTTAGTATCTATTATTGGCATTAACCATTTTTATAGCAGTCCTACACAGCAGTTAAGAAATATTTTTTTTCAATGTAATTTGGGGTTTTCTAGCTTTGTGAAGAACAAACTCAAACACATGTCTCACAAATAAAGCACTTTTATTCTAAAATGTTCTACCAGTATGCAGCTAAAACCACTAGTTTTTTTCTCCAGGGTCAGTCACATATTCAGTTACAATATCAGATGCAGTATGTATTACATCTTAAATCATGGCAAAGACTAAGAAATTACAAAAGGTTTTTCCTGGCATTTAACAGGTATGAGTATTTGCTTTGTTGAGCTGAGCTACACATCAAATGAAGACACTCAATGCTGCTGTATGAGTCAGCTTATAAAACCCCCACCACAAATGGCTATCACTGAAGAATATTTGTTTTTGTGGAGAAGAAGGGCATTTGTTAACAGTGGTAACTTGCTTTCGGTAATTTAAGCTACATAAACCTTCCTGAGCTCCTACAACTTCAGCAGTCTGTAAATCCCTTACCTTCACTGGTGAGCTCGCAACTTAACCCAAATGGGCTTTTGCTTAATGAAGTAAGGCCTTAATGCAACATATTCACACTCAAATGGGTAAAATTAAAAAAGTAGCCCAATACAAGAAGAGGGTTTTATTGAAGTATCTTTATAGATCATTATTTCACATAACAGTTTTGCATTGGTCATGGTCATATCATTTTGCCTCCATCTGCTGGCCTAAATAAAATGCGCAAGATCTTATTTGCAGCCCCCCCCCCAAAATATATATATATATATATATATTTTCACCAAGAAAAAGCCATATCACAAGTAGTCTAAATTTCCCAAAATCTATATAATCCAGACAGCAACACTGCAACAGAATCAGTGAAAGGTTTCAAAAACAAATGGGTTATTTCCTCTTGCAAATCACAGTTGCAGAGAGATGAGGCAGGCTTTACTGCCTTCAACCTTCATGTCTGGTGGACACGCCCAATCCAACTTGTTCTGCTTTGTTCCACAGTGAAAATATACTCAAAAGAGTTGTCACCAGTAGTTACTTTTCTTAATGTTTTCTTTGTTTTTCTGAATTGTCTTCCTGGTCATGACAAATGTAACATATTTGGGTGGAATGCTCCTGTAGTTTCCTTTCAACTACAATTCTCCTGACCTGCAGGTCAGCCCACATCCTGAGGCTATAGATAAACATGAATACTTGGCTTGTGTATAATGTAGGTCAGTTCTCTTTCATTTTTAATGAATTTGGACACATTTTACCTTTGTAAGTGTATTAGCCCATTTTAGAGTGTGTATCCATGGATATCTATATCCATGAGGTGTGTGCATTAGTGTAATCCTTTAACAGTTAGTATACACTGACAGGCCACTAAGTACACCTTGTATCTACACTCATTGGGTCTTATTCACCAACTGTTTTTAAGAAGAAATTTCTTTTTAAAACCCACATGTACAGTTTTCACAAAGATTCTGACATTCACCAATGTTTTCTAATTTGGGATTTGTTCTTGGGTAAGGAAAGAATCTACACATACCTAAAAGCACAAAAGTGCTAACTATTCTGTGGTTTAAGAACATGTCACATATCTGACATAGACTTTTTCTTAGATCTTTTCTCAAGAACAAATTTAAGAGGAAACTTAGGAAGATATTTGTGAATGAGGCCCATTGTTCATTTCATCAGTTCCACCTACCATATAGGAGAACTTTGTAGTTCTACAATTAAAGAGTGTAGTCCATCTATTTTCAGCATGCCTTGTTAGCCCCCTTTCACCCTTTTCTTTAATGTTCATGGTCCACATGACCATTATAGAGCAGGTATTATTTGGGTGGTGGATAATTTTCAGCACTGCAGTGACATTGACGTTGCGTGAGTATGAATGGATCAGACACAGCAGTTTTTAAGTTTTTAAGCACCTCAGAGTCACTGCAGGACTGAGAATCGTCCACAAACCTAAATCATACAGCGTTCTGTGACTACTGTGCAGCATCAAATGCGCTATTGTCTCTGACAACATCTACAAGGTTGACCAACAAGGCAGCTGTGTCTAATAAAGTGGACAGTGAGTGGACACAGTGTTTAAAAAGTCCAGCAAAACCTCTGTACCTGGTTGACTCGTACCAGCACAACACACACCAAAATAGCACCACCACTAAGTCACTGCAGTGCTGAGAATGATCCACTACCCAAATAATAACTGCTCTGTGGGGTCCTGAAGGGGTCTTCACCATAGAAGAACAAGACAAAAGGTTACAGTGAAACAGATGGACTTCAGTCTGTAATTATAGAATTACAAAGTGCCCTTACATAGCAAGTGAAGCTAATAAAATGGACAATGAGTGTAGATAGAAAGAGGTGTACTTAATGAAGTGACCAGTCAGTGTATATGCATATTAGTATGTGAGTTTTCTGTGGCCTCCTTGTATGTGTTCAGGACTCAGGATGGTGTTTCTTGGTGTGTATGCGCAGGTATTGTTTACCAGCAAAGCGTTTGCCACAGTGTGTGCACTCATATGGTCTCTCTCCAGTGTGAACAGTCTGGTGAGCTGTGAGGTGGCCAGACTGGGTGAAGCGTTTGCCACACTGCTCACAGCGGTACGGACGCTCACCCGTGTGTATCCGTGTGTGTGTGTCTAGGCTCTGCGCCGTAGTGAAGCTCTTTCCACAGATTGAACAGATAAAATGCCTCTTGCCACCTACTCCAACTCCGCCTCCCCGCAAAGAGCCGCGCCCCCCAAACAGCCCAAGCCCTGCCACGTTCCCCAGGGCAACCAGATGCTGTGCAGCATAGAGTGGGGAACTGTGGGCTGCGAGTGTGTCTGTGCCGATTCCAGCGGAGGCGTGGGAGTGAGAAAGTGCGTTACGCACAGAGTGCGTATTCCAGTCCAAAGTGAGATCCAAATCTTCACACACCAAAGGCTCCCTCTTCACACACATTTTATCTGAAAAAGGCCGGCTGTGACCAGTGCTGTCAGAGTGTGTGTCAGAGAGTTGGTGGGCATCAGCATGGGTGTTAAAGGAGCAGAGGGGTTCGTCTGAGGCTGTGAGGTCCACGCTGGAGTGTTGGGACTCTTCAGTATGTGAGAGTGATTCTGTGCGTGTGTTTGCATGAGGGTTCGGGGAGTGTGTGTCTGCAAGTATGTGAACATCATCATTTGTGGAGTGTGTGTCTGATGGGCCATCCTGCGCTGAGAGCTCCACCACTTCACCATCAGAAGAACTGTGTGCGACCAAGGCAACTGCCTCACCATCAAAATCATCATCATCATCTGTGGAAAAAGCATATGCATTAGAAAATAAAATCAGCCTATGCTGCATTACGTTCATTACAGTTGTAGGGGGCGTTGCCACAGAGCACTCACCGCTTGGTGCCTCCTGACCTTCCTCTTTAACGTGCACTGTAACGGGTCCCCGCTCATCTGAGTCACGTGACTGTGAACCAAACAATCCAAATATCAACAGAGGCTGTTAACAGGTAATATAATTTTACTTTAACAAAGCAATCAACAAGTAACTCATTCTCACCTCTGCCATGGCGCGACGGCTCGAGGACTCTCGGCTTCCACAGCTTTTTCTGCTCGCCGCTGCCTCACACACCGCCCCGTCACAGCGACTATCACGGGACGCCGCTCGCTCGTCACCGTACCCTCGCGCCGCCACGATAGACTCGATGAGCTGAAGTTTCCGTCGCAGTTCTTCGTTCTCTTTCTGGTGCCGAGAAATCTCCGTATGTAAAATCGCGTAGCCGTCGTCAACGAGCTCGCAGATTTCCGCCACTGCCGCACGAGTCAGGGTCTCCATAATGGTCGCGAGCTGGGTGTGAAACGCCCGGTAGTTCGCCATCCTCTCACACTCACTCCGCCAAGAGCCGAGGAGATCAACAGAGCTCGGAGTTGATCTCGGAGACGACTGAGCGGATGCAGAGAAGCTCAGATCTCAGTATTAGCTGGAAGACAGTATTTTCTACTGTTGTGGCTGAACTCGAGCGTTCCGAGCAATGCAAAATTGTGTTGGGCTGTTGACCGAGTGTCATTTCCGGGGTCTTCGTCCTTCGTTGATATTAAAATAAAAGTCCCCGGGCAAAATGAACGCGGCTTCTTTTGTGTGTTGAGCGATTACAAGTTGAGAGATTTGGTTAATGTTGCAGTAAGACCCAGAATTTTGCTCTGTACGCATTCTGCTAGTTTAGTAGAGCAGAAAAGTTAACCTCTTAGTCTATACCACGTTTGTAATGTAATAGGCCGCTGTAAGTACAGTTGTTTTGTTTTACTACTACTACTAGATTATTCATTAACCTGGACGACTTGAAACTATCACAGCTTCCTCAGTTTTGCTCAGTTTTCGAAGGGAATTAGAACTGTTTGATGAGCTGAATCCAGGCCTGCGCCAGGAGACCGACCATCTTACAGAGTTTTAGTAAAAGCCTTAACAGTAATCTCCAGGAGTGGGGATGGGCAGTGTGGGGGCTATACCAGTGCTAAGACTTTTGCCACTGATTTTTTAACTGATAACACTGACCATACTTGTAACGCAGTCTCAAAACGGTTCATGTGGTAACATAAATCAACTTTAGCACAAAAACACTGCCTCTTTAAGTGGTGATTAAGTGGTTAGTTTGGTGTGAAATGCTCTGTTCTAGAGAAACTTACAAAATAGTTCCCAAAGAAAAAATATCATTTCATATTTATCACAGTTTTACCATCATTAACATTACATATAAAACCTCGGAATCTCAGAACATGTATAGGTTCACTGACTGAGTTGTATTTTGTAAAGTAAATAAACTGGTTAAATCTGTGTTGTAGACATGGCGAACCCTGGTTCCTATCACCACCACTGTAAAGAATTAAAGTATACAATGAACTATTTCACATTAAATCACTCTGAATGAGTCTGTCTACGTCACTGAATTAAGAGAATTTTGAAAAATAGGTGGAATTCCCCTCTAAAGGCACAGTAACAAAAACAGAGGTTGGAAAATGGTCATATACAAACGAATTATGACCGTTTTTGATACATAAACCCCATTCATTTTTTGCATCTTTATGTGTGCACGTTTGTACCTGCATCTACGTGTACAATGTGCAATATGCAATCGCTTCCACACATTTCTTTTTAATTTTATGATGTCTTTGCATGTGTCGCGCTTCATACGGAATGTGATGTGCACACCAGACCGTACGCATGTTTCTTGCATTCATATGCGTCCCATATGCACGACACTGTTATTAATGTCACTCTCGCGTCATATTTTACACTAATTTACTGTTACGAAACGTCAAGCCAGAGACGCTTATTACAGCCATTTTTAAAAGAGAATTTTAAAGGGGAGCTTTTAGAGGTTGATGTCAGGTTCCCATCACCACCGCTGTAAACAATTCTGATTCAGTAAATTTCTCTAGAATGGAGAACTTCATACCAAACCACTCTGAATGACTTTGTTTACATCTCAACTATACAGAAAATTGGAAAAATAAGTGGAATTCTTCTTTACGTTAAACATGTAATCATTTTTTATTTTTATTTCAGAGTAATGCCCTTATTTTATTAACACGCATAGAATAAGCCCTAAATATCGGAACATTTTAGTATGTTAATATTTTTGGCGTGCATCTTACTACTGTAGAGTGAAATATATACTAAATATTTCACTGTAAATCTATTCATAAAACAAATTTATGACGGAGCCCCCGAATTTGTACGCACTGAGCATGCGTAGAAAGAGAGCCCTGCGTTTCCGGTTTCCCACCAAAACAGGGTCCGGTGCTGATCCGTCTGTGTGAAGTGAATGCCCCCTTTTTCCCTTTTGATATTTAGCAGGACACCGAGACGGAGAAATGTCGGAGTCTTCTCGCTTCCATTCGCAGCTGGCCTCCATTATGGAGGCGCTGGCGAACGCCGCGGTGGCGGAGATCTGTGAGTTGGTGGATGACGGATACGCCGTGCTGCGTTTGGAGATCTCTCGGCGGGAGAAAGAGAATGAGGGTTTACGGAGGAAGCTGCTCGCTTTGGAGTTAAGAGCGGCGCGAGAGAAGGCGCAGCGTTCCGGCAGCTGGGCGCGTGAGGAACGGATTGAACCGCGTGGTGAGTTTACGCTTTATCTAGGGCATGAGGGTGAATTCAGGTTTTATGAGCCTTTAGCTAATAGTAATATGGGAAAATATGTTAGTTCAGTGGGTTTTACCACTAGTTCTGGAGTCCCTCTCCTCTGTAATGTTCCTGCTTCTCACTCACCTGATCCAGTCAGCTAGTAGTTAATAAGCCTTTCCTAAACTGAAGTGGGAGAGTTTATTTAAAGAGGAACTCCATCTATGTGAAATGGCTATGAATACACTGCCTAATATCTGAGACATTCGTTTGCGATAGTTTTGTGAGAACGTTTTGGCTTAAAATGTAATATAATCCATTTATTTAATACTCATAGTGGTGGGATATATGCAGGGCGTTGTAAGGCACAATAGTCTCCAAAGAAGACTTTTTCTGATTTATGCCTATTCTACCATCATCAATATTACATATAAAGCTCAGAAGACGTGTGGGTTCACTGTAGGTTTCGGATAGTAAATAAAATTGTTATATTTGAACCAAATATGAACCATTTCACATCAAACCACTCTGAATGACTCTGTTTACATTGTAAGCACGTAATTATTAAGGATAATTATTAGTATAATTATTAGTATAATTAATTATTAGAAAAAAAATGGTAGAATTCCCCTTTAAATTTAAAATCAAGTATTAAGAATAATACATTAGTAAGTGTCCTCCTGAAACTGGAACGATCAAGAATTTCTTATAGTGTTCCCTTTTATCTGAGTTAATACTTGAAACCACCAAGTAAAATCTGTTGAAAGCTAACTGTCTAACTGCCCTGTGCATGAACGATTCATGTTTTCAGCTGAACCCCATTGTCGTGTGAAGCCAAGCCCCCGGTCACGAGCAACTGTTTGCATTCACGAGGAACCCCACACATCTCCGCCAGTGACTCAAGTCCTTCAAGCGGAGGTATGTTAAACTGCGACTTCTCACCAACAGAAACTCCGTGGCTTCTGTTCTTTTTCCAGTAACATGTATCTTTAACTTCACACCCTGCTGAAAAAATCAATTCCTTGCTGGTCTTTGCTGGTTTAGCTTGTCACCCAGCATGGCCCTGCTGGTGGACCAGCACACCAACATCCAAAACACAATATATGCTGGTCTGTGCTGGGTTTTTCTAGCAGAGTAGAAGCTAATCTTCTTTTGTCTTCTACACCATCACTAGCTTTCATCTTGGGTATAGTTTAGAGTACGCTCTAATTGAGTACTATGAAAGAAAGTTGTGTTCATGTTATGTCAGTTCACCACAAGTCAAACCTTCTTCATAAGCATGTATAAACTAAGCCTATTATGTAGCTCATATTGTAAGAAACCATAAACAAATAGTTTTTGGCATAAGTTTAGATTTAGTCCAGTGGTCTTTTCCTCATTCAGTGAAAGCGTGGTTGAATTGATTTATTTGCTTGATGGTATATTTTATAAAGCCAGTGTTTTTACATGGTCCATGACATTACATCCAAAGCAAAAAACTTTACTCCAGGCAAGTGAAGTAGCAGAACCATCTGACTAGCTTATTTAGTTTGGTTTGTATATTTGTGTTTATATTTTCACAGCCAAAAGAGGAATGTGAGGATGTTCTGATTGTAGAAAGTGCAAGCTTCCAGGCACAGGGTAAACACACACACACACACACACACTTTTAAATACAGATATGGCTTGTTACTTGTGTGCTAATTTGCTGCTGTGGTTTGGTTTTACAGACGGTGGTCGCTCTGCCACTGATGGACAGGTCATCCAGCCAATAGGAAGAGATGAGCTGGAAGAGCAAAACTTGTTTGGACAGAGAATAGAGGCCGTGGAACAGTCCCACCCTAACACACACTCACTCTCAGACTCCATTACACATGACACACACACCCCTGATAACCACAGCCACACTCTCACTCCCACGTGCTCATACTCCTTGCCCTCTGAGCCTTTATCAGCACACACTGCTGCAGTAGATGCACATGTACCAGACACACCGTTTTCGCTTCATGGAACAGAACACGCTCCGCACATGCACAACTCACAAACGGCCCTTCCTGCCCATGCCCCACTTCCGGTCATCGCTACGGACACAGGGCCAGGAAGTCTGGGGGGTGGAAGTCTGTTTGTGTGTCCATTCTGTGGGAAATCGCTAGCGTCCCTGAAGAACCTGAAGATCCATGTGCGTGTTCACACTGGGGAGAAGCCGTTCGCCTGTGCCCAGTGTGGGAAACGTTTCTCAGACTCCAGCAACCTCAAACGGCACCAGAGTGTACACACGGGCGAGAGACGGTACAGATGCTCTCACTGTGGGAAGGGCTTTGCCCAGTCAGGATCACTCAAAGTGCACCTCACCATCCACACAGGGCAGCGGGGGGTCCGCTGTGCTGTGTGCGGCAAAACCTTTATCTCAAATGCACATCTCAGAAACCACATGAGTCATTCTCACACAGCAAAATGAGATGTCCATTTAAAGGAGTACTTCAGAGTTTTTTTGTCTTTGTGTCTTGTCAAAAGTACTGACCAGTTCAGTCATTTTTTTATTGAGGCAGTGATCAGTAACTTTGCTACTTAAAGGAGAATTCCATTGATTTTTCAAATGTTCTGTTTAATTAAATGTTTAAGATGAAAACAAAGTCATTCACAGTGACTTATTGTGTTGGCAATAGGAACCAAGTGTCTGCCTCTAACTTTCTGTGAGGAAGCTTATTACATGAAATGGTGGAAAGATACATTTAGGGTATTGCAAAGTAAAATAGTACCCAAAGAAAACCTTTTTTTGAAGACTGTTTTATCATTTATCATATGCTCATTAGAACCTGTGTAGGTTCACTGGAGGTTTTGGGTAGTAAAAACCATGGCAATGTGTTGTACGCAATGTGTTGCACGCAGTATCTGGTTCCTGTTGGTAAGTTTCTCTACCATTATTACATCAAACCACTCTGAATGACTTGTTTACATCCCAACCAGTGAACTACATAGACATCTTTAAAAAATCCTTTAATTGTGCATGAATGCGTGCACCAGTTTATGCAGTGGCAGAAGATATTTCACCTCTGTGCTCAACACATTTGACCATCACTGGGTACTCCACAAGAAAACTAGACCCAAGAATTATACAGATTAAAACACATGTTCTTGCACGCACACACATTTTCTAAGCCGCTTATCCTTCTGGGTCATGGGGGGAGCTGGAGCCTATTCCAGCAGTCAATGGGCAGAAGCCAGGAAACACCCTGGACAGGTTGCCAATCCTTCGCAGGGAGGTAACACACATATACATTCACAAACACACTTAGGGCAATCTTTAAATGTGTCTTTCACATAACCATTTACTGATATAATTTACCAACTGCCCAATGGCATTTATTAGTTTGTTTACAGTCTAAATTTTCTGTTTTGGACATGATCATAATAATTGACCAAAGGTGACAGATGTAGCAGATCGAGATTAGGTTGAAAAACACAGTTTTCCTTTAAGACTACTGGATGTCGAATACGGGATGTAAAAGAACAGCATATTATTAGTATATATGAAGTTTGTATAAAATGTATATAAGCATATCCAGTGCCTTTTCTGTAAATGTTTTCTTGTGTACAGAAAGTGAGAAAAACATTAATATCTCAGTGTTGATCTTCTTTTTGTCAGTAATGTCAACTTTAATTCCTTTTTTGAAATGTGTATTTTTTTAGTTAAATTAAGATTGCAGTGATTACTTGGGCCTGTACTGTCTAAAAGCTGAGAAAGCAAAAAATGTTACAGTAAAAATTTCTTCATTTTTTTTTTTTTCTTTCTGAAGCCTCATTGCTAATGAGTTGCATAATTTATATAATCTCTGCTCATAGTTACTAGTTACACAGCTGCATCGTATCGCGCTCGTCATCAGCCGGGAAGCAACTCATGGGGGCCTCCCAACAACAATCATGACTGAAGACAATAGAAAACTTTCATGGCTATGAAAATGGTTTATTAGCGAAATTCCATTCTGAGTTTCATGACAAATAAAAAAAAGCATTTTCAAAATACTTGGGATGCACAGTCAATAAAAATACAACCCCCTGTATTATTTCAGCTTTGCATGCATTGGCACAATACAAAATTTCTAAGCACTTTGTTAAAAGTTAGTAAGTTAATCTTTTAGCATATTTTTACAAAGTTGTTACAGAAATATAATTTCTGCCACAGTGCAGTAAAAATGCCAGCTGCTGCTAAGTGAAATCTGCAGTTTAGGTTACAACTGAGAATGAAATGCATTACACATTAAACATGATAAAATTGAAAAGAGAAAAAATATTGGGAATAGTTTCATGTATGAATAGTGAGTGAGTATCATGACACATTCCAATTTAAGAAGAGCCTATTTGTTCAAACACAACTAACTGGAGCAGTTATAGCACCTTTCCAAAAACAGATGCTCTTCCTGCTGAACCAAGTTGAAAGAAAGCTGTTGTTTAGTACTTATATACAATTTATATACAGTTTACTCTGGTATCAAATTCTATTCTGTTTAGTATTTTGAATAGTTTTTGCAAACTGCTCTGAGTAAAAGTCCCAATTTAATTGAGTATAGTTACTTTGAAAAATTAAACACTTGTTCAGTGTCTATGTTCAAGATTATGTATGTCAAGTTCGTATAAAACTATAAAAGAATTATACTTCAGACAAAGTATAATTCATGCATAAATTTACAGCACTAGGCAGCTCAGTGGTGAAGGCCACTAGCATCCATAAGGCTGTGGTTTCAAACCCTATTAGGTACCATGAAAAATAGACCACAGGGCTGCAAGTCGTAAGGTCATTACCCACTGACCCCTGCTGTTGTGCAAGTCACTTGTTCCCATTGTTCACAGGTTGCCCTTACTGCAAAAAAAAAAATCAACATAACCTTCAAACAGCATTCTTTCCTTATGGTTTCAGACTTTTGTTTTACTGATTACTGTAACACTGTCTCAATTACCTTTTGGCTCTGACAGAATTTACAGCAAAACTACATCTATCAATCAATGATACCTACATCACTGAAGTCCTCATCACTTACTGCTACTTCTACAAGGCATATTTAATTTTTATAAACAACATGCAGTCAGTAGACACGGTAGGATTTAGCTACAAACTAAGAGACGTTTAATAATTCATTATCTTGGCCTCCAGGCTGGCAATACATCATGAGTACATTATCACACTAACATGGACATCACACTTTAATGCCCCTCTAATTTGTGGTTTATTGTTAACAACTGAATAAGATATAGATAAAATACTATACTTTTCTTATCATATATATTTCTAAATTTAACTGACCAGTGTCTTTTTCCTGATGGACAGAATTACTTACTCTCATTTTGATTAAAAAATAAGCTCTATATGAACCTATATAGAGACCTTCCAAGCATCCAGCAAACATGATGCTTTATAACAGTCAACTGCATACAGTCTAAGAAAACTGGAATATTTATGTGACATAAGTCTTTGTTACAAAAGATCAGTAAATATCTATGGAATTATGGACAATCAGTGTTCTCCATATTAAAGAATTAGACAAATAGCGCTATTGACTGTGTCACAGGCTGGACCCTGTATCGGAATGTAGATGCAGATAAAACCGCACACTGTTTCATTAACTTAAGTTAAGAATGTTGTTTCTTTTTCCTCTAAAGTTACCATTTCTGGTATTGGCATTGATATGCAACCACGGCTGAGGGTCCTCAAGGACATATTTGGAAAGGCACTTAATGAGCAATAAGCAGCATCTCTCCATAGGAAAACTGGCACATTTTTAGGGCCCAACAACCCTCTTCACACCACACTCCCCCTTTAAGGGATGAGGTATTAGCTACTACGTTACCGAAACTTTCAGCAAAAGCACAACAGGCTAAGTGCAATAAACACAGAGCATGAGATCACTACGGTCCAACGTGGTGGCACTGTGATAAACAGGTCCCTCCTTGTGGCCACAACCTACTGAAGTACTACAGATGCAGGACTTCCAGAATTTCTCTTTTGTTTACACCTAAGTAACAAAATGGACATAAAGCTAATGGATCATTATAGTAGATCACCATTTTTTTCTGTTCTATTGTGTTTTAATGCTAAATTAGCCTTTCTTCTAGTATTGTACAGACTCAGCCTAATATTACAACATATTTTACTCCCTGATAAGGTGATTCAGGCAGACAAAATATCCTACCTGTACTTTCAGTGCTGGTTTAGGCTATAAAAATATCCTACCGACAGTTTTATGTATGGAGCCACATGTACATATGTGCTGTGGAAGGATATTTCAGTGAGGTAGCACAATTTGTCAGGGAGTCTCCCTAATGAAAGGGTCAACAGGTAACACTGAATTTGCTTTTGAACTCTTCATGATGCTCCTGAAAGTCAGTATCCACTTTCCAGAGGCACTATTGTTTATTGTTGGAGGATCCATTATACACAGAATTACTTGCAGAGATTAAGTAAACCATCAATGGTTTTGTATTCTCCTATTTTCACAGCATAATATTTTTACTTCTATTCAAGTGTACTAGTGAGCAAAAGAAACTACTTTTTAGTCAGTTTTATCACATTAAACCATTCATATTTAGAGATTAATTCCATTTTATGTTTAATTTTATTATGTTTTGTTATTGTACTGTACTGCTCTGTGACTGGTCACACCTCTGAGATTGGAGCTTTAGTATTTTATACTACACAAAAAGAATCCCAAAAAGAGAAGAATCGAGCCCAACAAACTTCAGTTCTTGTGCTGATAGATGATGGATTTACTAAGAAGTTCCACCGCAGTTCTGTAAGTTTTTTGCCTTTTGCCTTTTTACTCAAGATCTTTTTTTGGAAAGGTACCTTTACTTTTACTTCGAGTATTAACACTTTTCTGGATTTAGGCTACTCTACCCACCTCTGGCCCCAGGTAAGCTGGTGTTAAAAGACCCCAATATAAATTAATACGGCACACATTTCTTCATGTGGTAAATTTCTGAATTAGAATACAGCGAAATGCAGTAAGAAGTAATTTAGAAAAGTAACACTATGAGCATTGTGCTTTTACCAGATAGCAAGCTTTGGATCAGTAGTTCAGTCAAACCTCTGAGCCACAGATCACTGCAACTGAGTTTGACATGTTAATACCATAGCATTTTTTAATGAAAAGTCCGATCTCATGCTCAACCATGTTTGTTGCAGTTTGCCCAGCTAACACTACCAATCAGCAACAGCATCACTTTTGCATTTCTATTGCTATGTGTACGCAGAGAACGCCACAATCAATTTGGTTAAAACTCTGAAGACCTGAATAAAGTCGTCCTGACTCATCAGTGGAGAAGGAGGACGCTGATGCCTATATTTTGGCTTTCAAAGAGCCCAAACAGCTAAGCTGATGAATCTGTTCATACATTAACAACACATATTAATAATAATATCAATAATAATTACACAGTACATACAAACATATATTTGCATCAAAAAAGAAGGTGCTTTCACTACAACTGGTGCACACTCAGGTAATCGCTGATGATTCATCACGGTTAAATAATTTTTTGAGACTTTTTGTTCATTTTGTTTTTTACTTTTTTTTGGATTGTCTACTTTTAATATGCTCATAGGACAGCACAGCTAGGTCCTGTATTAGATTTGGAATATTTTACTAATCAGAAATCTTGTCAGGTAGGAAGTTGGAACAGTTAATGAAAGCACCCTTGCACAACTTGATACAGCACAGATGGAAAAAAAGGCTAGATTTGAGTGTATTTGTGTCACATAACACACTAAAAAGGATCTGATTATGTAACATTTTCTGACTATGTTCCCTTTTTTCCAGAGTCCCATGACATGAACTCCAGCTACTCAAGAACAGTAAGCAACACGCAGAACCAACTGACACACGCTTACTGTTACAGACACACACTCATGCATACTAATGTGCATTCACACACACTCATGTTCTTACACTCAGACGTGACGCACTGATTCAGCTCCACTTGTTGCAGGATGTGGTGTGTAAGTAATGTTGTGTGTGTGTGTGTGTGTGTTTGTGTGTGTGTGAGTGAGTGTGTGAGTGTGAGTATGTTTGTGAGATTGTATTTGTGTTACTTCATCACTCGTTTCTGGAAGTAATATCCTATAGGAAAAACACAAAGTCTCTGTGAGCACAGTCCTGGGGCAGACGTTTCACCACATAATACAAACCTCAATTCCAGAAAAGTGTGTAAATGCAAATAAAAACAGAAAGCGAAGTGAACTGTAAATCCACTTTGACCTGTTCTTAAACTAAAACATTAGAGAGAGAAGAGACATTTAATAATTTACTGTGTCATTTTATTTTTGTTCATAAATTAAAAAAAAATTAAAAAACATATTAAAGAGGTGATGCAATCATCCTTGGGTATAAAAGCAGCTTCTTGGAAAGGCCTAGTCCTTTATGACAAAAAATGCATCAGCAAAAAAATCCAACACTTTAAGGATAACGTTCCTTATTGAGTGATTGCAAGGGCTTTATTTATTTTGTCTTCTACAGTGCATAATATCTTCTATAGGTTCAGGGACTCCAGAGAAATTTCTGATTTCATTCAGATTCTTTATGGAAATAATGGACTTTGTGTTCTTCAGACTTTATAGGAATTGTTACCAAGTTAAAGTTCAAAAGCTAGAATTTATCATTTAGAGCAACTAGATGACATCTTTTTCAGGGACATCCTACGTATTTCAACATGACAACGTCAAGCCACATACTGACTGTGTTACAAAAGCATTACTGTGTAATCAGAGAGGTTGGGTGCTAGACTGTTAAAAGGAAAGGTGATGTAACACAGTGGTTAACATGCTCCTGTCAAACAGAATTTACTAAATCACTGCTTTTTGTTTTTATTTTACATACTGTCCCAACTTATTTGGAATTAAGGTTTGTACATAATATTCATGCAGAAATTTAAAGGTGAGTGACATCAATGTATTTTAGATATTTTCATGTTACACAATACTTATCACATATTCGACTTATGGATAAATTGATTAATGGGCTGACATCCATGTTTTATGTTTTTTGCAATTACTGTACATTGATTGTTATGGTTTAAAAACTCTCTTTTGGTCTACATCTTTGGTCTACATAGGTCTTTGTAATGATATATGCAGTTGTTCAATGTTCTAGAAGTACTGACAAGACATATACTCAGAAAATCTTCTTCTAATATAACATCATCATAATTACAACATATGTCCACATTTCCCACCCCTAGAGAATACTCCATATTCATACAAAATACATAATTCATACTAACAGTCACCTTGTCTAGGTGCTGCTGAATATTTATAATTTGTTATTACTGCTCAGACATTCAGAGAGACAGATAATGAGGTATTACTGCTCTTATATCTGATGTCTATTCTAGCAGTCACAACAACTCACCTCAGTCTTGGTTTGACTCCATCGCACTGCTCTTACAGATTTAGAGGCACCTGGAATAAAACACTTAAATTTGTTTTCACAGATTCTGATGGTGTTTCACTCTCTGAATTTGATGTGTGTATATATATATATATATATATATATATATATATATATATATATATATGTGTGTGTGTGTGTGTGTTTGTTTGGGTTAATTATCCTTACAAATGACAAATACATGAAAAAATACAATACACTTTTTTATTGTTCATCTAAGCTTTGCTTTTTTAAGCGAACAAAAAGGGCCAAAACATTTCCTTATTTCCTGGTTTGTTTACTGGCTTGATATTAGGTTTTATCATGGTGTCACTGTAATACAGGCCAAATATTGTGCTTGTGTTTGTACATGTGCATGTATGTGTACTCACAAATAGACGAGATCAGGAAAAGGAAAGCCACTGCTACAGCAACACCTCCAAACACACATCTGTCAGGATATGACATCATTGCGCTGTTACCCAAAACCATTTTCATCCATCACGGTGGAACCACTGACTTAATTAAGTCACAATACCTACAGTAACAGTACGATTAACTGCAGTAAACACTAACTTTCTCTTTCTTACTTACATACACTTTCTTTCCAGACCATACTTGGAGAACACAGCAGCACAGAGACACAGTGTGAGGATGAAGAAGAGGAAGGCTTTCAAAAACACACAATCTGAAACTGAAATTATAAATAATTAATTAAATCAATAATCTACAAGAGGCTGTACTTTACAGTGATTTTGCCATGGCTGTTGTTAGGCACAACACAGGGAGTTTTTACAAAATTGTGACAAAATACAACGTGATTAATAAATACACGAATGTCTAATAACAGATTTAATTTATTAATAGTAACTGCGATAAACAATTCTTCCACCAAGCAATGTAGTTCAAAACAGTAGGCTAAGCAAAACACATATTCCTTAATAAATTGCTTCATTAATACACAGTTCAAGTAATGTCTATTGTGTGTATATTCACTACTTTATAATGGCTTTGAAAATGGCTCAGTCAATCAGATTCTAGAACTGGAAGTAACCTTTTTTTATATTCCATTTATAAAATTGTCCATATCAGTTGTCATTTGTCAGTACAGTATAATCAATCAACAGCCTTCTCTGTAGCCTCCTATTCCATTTCTCTTTCTCACTCACCTGAAGGTTGATAGGTGGGTGGACAGTAACTTTTGTAGAGACATTCAGAAGGGGGTGGTACATCCAGCAGGCCTGTTTCTGAATGGCTAGGCATCTCATGGGCAGAGCAGACTTCTGGGTGAGGCTCCTCCTCTGGCAAAAACATTTCTTTTTCAGGAGGAAAGAAAGTTTCTGTAGGATCTGAAACACACACAAACAGGTCAAGAACATACACTGTTCTCAAAGTAAGTAGTTTACAAAATGTGTAAACAGAGCCCTCACCATATTTAAAAGAGACTGGTGTGTCATTTTCAGTGCTGCTACTAATATCCAACCATGAAGGCAGTTCACTAATGTGTGTGGAGTCTGCTCTGCCGAACACACGCTCGCCCAGCCATGACTGACACGACTGGCTGACATCACTCAGGAGACTGGCCAGTGACCTTCTCACTTTGCGCCTTCGACGGAAAACTCTACACAGACATAAGCAAAACACAGTAACAGTAGCTTTAATTAATAGAACTCTTTACTAATGTAAAGGTTTATGGTAATAATAACTTTAGCAATGGAGCACTTTCATACAGCTAAAAGAGATTTACAGACAGATGCTAAAGTTTAACAGTGATAGAAGAAAATAATTTGAGTTCAAATGTTCTTCTATTATAGTTACTGTTCGGTAACATCAATACAAAAAATAAATTAAAGTTAAGATCATTTATTTAAATAATATGAAGTACTGACACAGTAGTAGTAGTTACGTAGTAATGACAGATCAAGCTACAGCTGCACTATGTAAGACCTCTCTTGCACAGAACGTGCATAAGAACATTTTGTAATGTCAGTTGTGCTTCGCTCCCCCACGAGCACAAAAATATGACATTTGCATGCGGGTTGAACGTGAATCAAAGAAGAATTCAGTCAAACCTTGGTGAAAGACGTGTCTTCCAGGGATGTAAGTGAATGATTACTATTGTCATAATATCTTCATCGGTTTAATGTTGATGTTACATTTGAGATCTAAACATTGAGCCGGATCCTCTTTTTAAGGCTGTGCATGTGATAATATGTAAAGACGTACAACGTGGTCCCAAAAAGTCCTACTTTTAAACCATTTTTTCAGCATTTAAAGGGTGACTCGCAGCAGTGCACACACATCATATTTTAGCAAGTTAAAACAAAAAAATATTGCATAGAGCAGCTTTAAAAAAGATAAATACAAATGAGAGGTATCAATTTAATTAAAAGTTTAAGAGATACATTTTGAAATGTTTCTTAAAAGTGTGTACCAAGCTTCACCTTCTAGTAAAATAGTTCCACAGAAGCATAATAACAGAAACAGGCCTCTCCATGTTTTCTGTACTTTATGGAAGGTATTTGTTGAAGGCCACTATCCAAGATTACATGCTGGAAGATTTTGTGAGGTACGCAGGTGCTTTAAAACCCTTTAGAGCATAGTTCTTTCAAAATGAGGATAATATGAGCTTTCTTTTTTGTTTTTGTTGGGATCTGAGCTGCTACATTTTGTATGGGCTGTAGAGGCTGTATTGTCTTCTTAGAAAGGCCAGCGAAAAGAACATTACAGTAACCAACTCTGCTTTAAAAAATGCATGACCAAGTTTCTTTGCATCAATCTGGCATAGAAAAGGCACAACTTTAGCAATGTTTCTTAAATGATTAAAAGCTACTTTAGTGACTATGTTTACATGCAGGATATGTGTATTTATACTCAGTAAACTTTTTTTCTCTTCTTCAGTGTACAGTTCTGCGCACTTATCATGTGAAACAAATTACTGGACCTCAGCAGCACCTGGTAAATATTGTGCTACGTAAATTAATACGGAGAGAGACATGTCATGTTCAAGTGATGTACTGAAAACTACTTGTTTTAGATGATTTGTATGTATGTTACTTACCTTTACTTTATTTTTTAATTTAAAATGCCTGTAATTTAAAATGTCTGTTAATCACACCTTAATTTCCCTTCCTCTAAACTTGATCCCTAACCCTAAGAACAGTGAGAATTCAGTGAGTTTTAGCAGACCAAGTAACCAAAGTGGTTACTTTAACATCTGTAGATAATCTAAGGGGCCTTTACGATACTATCGAAATAAAGTGAGACCCATTTTTCTTAACTTAAAATCACTACTAACAAAGATACTAAGCCCTAAAAGGCAAAATAACAACACTTAATTACCAAAAATTACATCAGTCACAGTTTATGGGTGCAAAAAAGAAAGACGTCACATGAGTTGTTGCTTTACTGCACAGAAACATGAGTTGCTTAGAAACCAGAGCCATGAGCTAATCTACAGACACATATACACACATAGCGTCACACACCAGGAATGCATGAGATAACTCAGAACACTCGTGTCTAGAACAGAACATTCAAGGAACACACACACGTACACACACACTGCTCTTGTCCTATACTCTGTCAGTAGTCAGTTTCCACTCTTTGACTAACATAATTGACATGCCTGTATTGCCTGGACTGGCTTCTAGGCACTCAATTGCCATGACATTTTCTCAAGCTATATCATGTCATTTTTCAAGTAATTTCATAACCCTTACAGGAAGACTCATTATGGAAGTTAATGAGCTCAGGAACGTCTTTACCCTAACATGAGGTGAATTAAAAGTATTTTCTAGCAAATTAAAGGAATACAACTTAACCTATTCTAACTTCTGCACCCGTAGAATATAGTCGACTACCATGGACAACAATTTTTAACCTTAATTTTTAAGGTTCCATGTATGTAGTAAAAAAAGAACAAAAACAGAAAATTACTTAAAACACTTAAAACTAGGGCATGAATTGAAGATTTTGTGACTGATACTGATTTTAAGGAGCTAAAAATTCTGATTCCTGGTAATATCAGTAGATATCATTTAATATGGTCATAAACTAAACAGTAGGGATGCACCAATATGGGAATTGTGCATTAATTTTGATATATTCTTCATGCACATGTCTGCTGATGCATAACAATGACATAAACATTAATGAAATGTAGAAATTGGGACTAAATCGATCTGGATTAGTATTACATAGAAATCTAACACTTTGTTGTAGAGGGTTACAAATATAGCAAAATGGACAAAATGCAGAGATTTTTGCATAGCAACAAACATTCTACTCTTCTCGAGTACAATAAAGAAGTCATCAAAAAATAGCCAAACCTAAACATCTGCCCGATGTCGTTATTTTTTTAAAGCAAGTATCGACTGATACCAATATAATTTCAGTGTCACAGATTTGATTGCCAGTTCTCAACCCTAACTATACTTATACTTAAACAAACGCAGAAAACTCACAGAGTCTTAAATAATATAAATAATGTTGCCTGGAGGTGAAGCTTTCCAGAATTCTAAATGATTTTGTTGGTTTTTTGTTGGTTCTAATTTTTCATCACTTTTTTATAGAAACATTTTTGTGTGTAATAACTTGTTATTTTCATAACAAACGTTTACATGGTTTTGTTATTTTTACCTCAATGGTCAAATTTACCAATTCAACTACTGGTAATATTGCTGTAATATAAATTAGCAGGTGTTGGCAAATGAACAGTGTCATATACTTTAAAGGAAATTGTGATAATAAAAAATCACCCTAATCTCTACTGCATCTGTAGCATATGATTGATTATCACAGACAATCATTTTGATACTTTCACTGTGCACAGTAAAAGAACAGGAAAACCAACAGGAAATCCAACTCTGACATTCTGAAAGGTGCTTTTGTTGCAATGAGCAGAAAAACAGCATCCAGTCTGTCAGGCTATCAGGTGTCCTCTCAGGCACAGCTGACCAAATCTGGAGATTTACATTTAAAATAAATGTATATAATGTATATAGTATAAAACTAAAATTTAGTTAATGGTGGGTTACTAAACAGGGCCCACTCAAAGGTTTGAGAACGAGAGAGAACAAGAAGGAGATGGCCTGTCAAAGACAGAACTGAATGAATTGACTCTTGCTGTAAAAAAACAAAAACTTATCCTTTTATTACCATATTACATGGTATAAAAAGACATTTCATTACTGTTCCCATGGGAGTACTGTAAAGTTTATCCCCATTCCTGTTACTAAAGCCACAAAATCTACTGCTCCCCAGGATGTAAGTGAATTTTCTACTATTGTCATCATATCTTCAGCAGTATAATGTGCATTTGAGACCAAAACATTGAACCAGGTCTTTTTTAATAAGTGTGCATGACGTTAATAGGTTAAGATGTATGACTATGAACTGCTATTTCAGCCTTCACAGGGCAACTCGTAGAAGTGAACAGACACCATATTTAAGTGTGTTTTGCTTTCTCCTAACTTAGACTTTTATCTACTACTGTTTTTTCAATTTTAACGAAAAAAATCATAGTGCAGATTTAACATGACATGAACAGTATGGAACTACTGGTGTTTACAGCTGGTACAGAAAACAGATATCACTGGGCTGAAACACATTCTCTAACCCTCTCTCTCTTTCTCTCTCTCCGTCCCACTTTCTGCCTCTGTTTCTTTTTTCCCTCTTACTTTTTTTTCTCTCTCTCAGTCACACAAACACAGAAGCATGCTCTCACACACACAGACCAGTCTGTCTCTCACTGACCGGACAAGGTTTTCTTTGTAGGAGATGTTGGTCTGTGTTGGAGTGAGGGTCAGGTTACCCTGGTCATCAGTATCAAAGCTGTCTTCCGTCAGTACATAGTATCCATTGGCGAGGAGGCGTGGGCTCCGGCGGCACACGCACACTGAGCCTGTTACCGGATTGGTGGAGAAACACTCATAGGAGCAGTCAGAGAGGAAGGAGGAGTCAAAACTAAAGGAGCAAAAAAAGAAAACATTAAACTCACACACATGTGCACAAACATTCTAATGCTGACTCATAACATATGCCGTCTCCAATTTTACTTTTTCTACTTTTTTATAAAATAAATATGAAACATTATTACACTTCTAGATACATACAGTACTATGCAAAAGCCAGAGACCACCTCCTGTTTGCTTAATTTCCAGTCAAAAAAACAGTCCAATCTGCTTTTAGCTACAGCGCACCAGCGAACTGGAATACACTACGGGAAACTCTAAAGCTCTGCTCACTGGTGTCACTTGACTATTTTAAACTTTTGAGCTCTAACCATCTCCACTTATCCTGCAAGTGCTTTATTTGATCTTAGTACCTTTCTGCTCTGTTTTATTTAACTATTTTATAGTTCTTTTACTGTTCTTATTTTACTGAACATTTTTTTTCTTATTGCTTATTCATATCTAAGTTGATTTGTTTACTTACTCTAAATTTGTTTTCATCACATATTTTATTGATATTTTATACCTATTTCTTATATTTTTTCTTTATAAATTTTCTTGTTGTTTTGTCGATTTTGATTTGTTTTAGTTAATAAATTTCATTTCAATATTTTTTTTTCAATCCCTGTTTAACTTGCTTGATTACACTGAAAATGAGGGTCACCCCCAATGTACCTCAGAGTCGAAATAAAGGTTGATTGACTGTCTATTTGAGTTTCCAGTCAAAATGACCATTAAGTACGTAATTCAACTTTTCAGAACCATAAAAAACTCGGAAAAGTACACAGAATCTTCAACAAGATTAGTGTGTCCAGCCTTTATTACAGCTTTCATTCTTTTTTGGTGACTCACTTTCAGTTTTTCAAAGAAATGTGCATACACAAATGTGCATGTGAGATATTTTTTCACAGCTCCAAAGTTCAGAATTAGAAGTTGTTTGCATTTTCTGCTTCACACAATCCAAGTAATCCTAAACACATTCAATGATGTTGAGGTCTGGCCAGTCTATTGTTCTTAGAACACCATTCAATTAGACTCATAGCGACAAGTCGTCTTGTCCAGTGGAAGGATGTACACAAACACCTGTGGATTCTTTCAGATCTGAAGCAAAAGTGGAGCTTGAGTTTCTTCTGAAGAAAACTTTAAGTGCTGTTTATCTGTAACTTTTAACAAATTTTTGAATTAGAGAAAAATTTTTTCTCTAATTATTTTCCCTTGACTTTCTCCATCTTATGCAAGCGGATGCACTTTACATAGTTCTGTGTAATGGGCTGCTGGTTTGTGGTGCACCGCGAAAAACATCTATTGAACAAATTACTACCTTGTACTTAATGGCCATTTGAACCGGAAATTAAATAAATGAAGGGTGGTCTCTCACTTTTGTACAATGCCGTATATACACACACTCACACACATATTATCTAGTATGTACCTGTAACATGTCTGGTCATCTTGCCTGCTCCTGGTCTTTATGGGAGAACCTAGAACAAACAAATAGCAACACTGATTCTGCACTAGTTATATTAACATTTAGGATGCGCATGAGTGTGTATGTGTGTGTGAGAGAGAGAAAGGGAACAGAGAGAGAGAGAGACAAAGACAGAGAGAGCGTGAGAGAAAAAGATTTTACTAACTTGTAACAGCTCCTCTGAAGAATAAAGCCATGGCTCTCACTGCTGCTCAACCTAAAAAAAAGATACACACAAATGATGTGCATGTACAAATATATGTACAGTCATGGCTGAAATTGTTGGCACCCCTGAAATGTTTCCAGAAAATGTAGTATTTCTCCCAGAAAATTATTGCAATTACACATGTTTTGTTATACACATGTTTATTTCCTTTGTGTGTATTGGAACAACACAAAAAAAACCAAAAATAATTTCACGCAAAACTCCAAAAATGGGCCGGACAAAATTATTGGAACCACTGTGGGTAAATAACTTTGTTTCAAGCATGTGATGCTAGTTCAAACTCACCTGTGGCAAGTAACAGGTGTGGGCAATATAAAAATCACACCTGAAACCAGATAAAAAGGAGAGAAGTTGACTTAATCTTTGCATTGTGTGTCTAAGCATGGAGAACAGAAAGAGGAGAAGAGAACTGTCTGAGGACTTGAGAACCAAAATTGTGGAAAAATATCAACAATCTCAAGGTTACAAGTCCATCTCCAGAGATCTTGATGTTCCTTTGTCCACAGTGCGCAACATAATCAAGAAGTTTACAACCCATGGCACTGTAGCTAATCTCCCTGGACATGGATGGAAGAGAAAAATGGTTGCAACGCAGGATAGTCCGGATGGTGGATAAGCAGCCCCAATCAAGTTCCAAAGAAATTCAAGCCGTCCTGCAGGCTCAGGATGCATCAGTGTCAGCGCGAACTATCCGTCGACATATTTTAATGAAATGAAACGCTATGGCAAGAGACCCAGGAGGACCCCACTGCTGACACAGAGACATAAAAAAGCTAGACCCCAGTTTGCCAAAATGTACGTGAGTAAGCCAAAATCCTCCTGGGAAAACGTCTTGTGGACAGATGAGACCAAGAT